GGAAAATTAGTATTCATAATCTGATTAGAACTGCTCATACATATATATATATATATAACATAATTGCTAAAAAATATTTTGATAACCAGTGTTCTCCTTTGAAAACTTTCTCGTTGATATTTTCTTTAAAAGGTTCATATTTGCATATTTTTTTAGAATTCACAACACAATAAGTCAAAAAATAAGTCAGTTTGTTAATTTGCTTCGATAGAATATAACATGGTTGGCCTCGATTTCCTGAATCAAAAGAAAAAATTAAATGGGAAGATGTTCAAATACAGAACGAGGAAAAACGATGTCATTTGCTGGTGTGCACCTTGCCAGCGCAATTTGTTAAATTTCAATGACTATATAAACATTTAACATTAGAGTGGATTTTCTGGAGTTATAATTTTTTTTTTCATTTAGCACAGCTCTAAATGAGATTCAATGATATTCCAATTTTTAATTAATTTTAGAAAGAAAAATGATTCCATACAGATATAGTGATATTATTTCCACAATTAAATTTAATTAATTTTATAAATTTTTTTTTCTTTATATTCAATGGTATAATTTAAGTTTATGCCTAATATACCTTTTATTTAAAAGTTTACCGAAAGTAAGTAAGAAAGTAAGTAAGAAAGTAATAAAAAGTAAGAAAGAAAGTCAGTAGAAATATCAAATATTGTCAATACCAAATCATAGGTCATATGTAAATCCTGTAAAATGAAAGGGAAATTCAAGCCCAAAACCCGTAAATGAAAGATTAAACGATTATACTCCTTGGTCTTAGAACAGTGAACCCATCATCATAATAGAAAATCAATGGAACCAAGCAATATTAAGGCATTATTATCTTAATTAATTACTATCTTAATAAGCCATATGACCCCAAAGTAGCGAGAATAACTCGGAATTGGAATTTAGCCGCGATTTCGCCAAGGGGCTGAATGGCAAATGTAAAAACTAATGAGTTCTGTAAATCATAAGGAAATTAAAAACGGATTCGAAATATCAATCCAGCAATTTAAATCAACAGGACAATTCGATAAAATGAATTTAATAGAAATCAATAAACAATCAATCAAATCAAACAACAATAGGCCAGCGCCATTAACAAACAAACGACAACTAAACAAGAGCCGCAAGGACCAATGGAATCATCTACCGACTCATGGAATGGTTTAAGACTCGTTAACAGAAGCCAAAAGATAAAAAGACTGCTTAACCTCAAAAGCTTTACATTCGTCATTCAGCGGCACTTCTCAATATGAAAATGATTCCAGCCAAAAAAAGATTGGTGCATGATATTTAAATTATTATATTTAAATTTACAGGGATCTATTTAAAAACTTAAGCAAGCGGTAAATGCTCATTTTTAGGTAGATTTGTTCCACGAGCTGTTAAAATTTTTTGCTGGGATGTTATTTAGGAAAAAAATGTAGATGGCTTCACAGCACCACCCAAATTTTTAATGACAGATTTATTCCAGTTCGATTTTTGACGCTTTAAACGGTAATCTTAACGGTAAAACCACTCAGCTCTATTTTGCCTCTTCTAAAAAATGTATTTAAATGACTAAAACTTATCAAATTAAATTGGAGTTGAAATCAAAAATTGGAATCAAAATTATTGTTTAAATAAGAAATAAATATTTTAAAAATTTAAAAAATTTGGGCAGAAATAATTTAAAATTTCGATAAAACAGCTAAGATAAATTATAAAAGTTATATTAAAGTTATAAATATAAATCATAAAAGATAAATTGCAAAAAGTAAAAAAAATTGTTTTAATTATTAATTCCCAGGAAATAGGCTGAAAATTGCAAACAACATTAAAAATAAATAAGATGGAATGTTGGCAGCCATTGACCATAAATGTGTGCGTCAAAAATTCGGATTTTGAGAACTTTGTTTCTATAGCTGCATTCGTTTTTTGCCAACTGTTTATTGAGCGGACAATAATTTCGTCTGTTTTGTTGCATTTATTTCCCAAGATTCAGTATTTCCAGAAATGGAATGGAAGACATTTCTTTCTTTAAATTTTTGCTATGATTCTACGATTTGAAAAAATAATTTAAAAATTATTTATTGTTTAAACATTCTTCGTAAAAGCAATGGAAAATACTTTGTAAAAATCAGATAAAACTTTCGAAATCCCACTTTTATCTTGGATTATTGAGATTATATTAAGCTTTTTAAATTATTTTAATCATTGTTGCTTGATAATTTACAATTTATGTTTGATAATATAACATCTGACATCGAGACGCTTGGAAATGCCTCATTTTTACAACCACTGGACCGACCCCTCAGCCATGGCGTGCACTAGAAAAAGTGTAATTTTATAAAAAGTGTAAAATAATTTTATTAATAAAATCATTCCCATCCCAAATCGTCGATTATACGCTATCTTAATGGTAAATTTCGTTGAATCCTGAAAGCATTGAATGACTTATTGCAACAGTTATTATAGGCAAGATATTAAATGTCAAACTAAATGTCAAGTGGTTATCACCATTTCTAGTTTTTAGAGAACGAACCATGGTTAAAATGATAATGGATAAAAAATATAATAAAAATAAATGAGAAATGAAGTGAATATTTCTTTATACTGAAAAGTATAAAAGTATAAAAGGCAGCGAGGAAAAAGGAAAAAGTAATTAGTAAGAAGAAGACCTTTATAATGGATTTATTTGCCTTAAAATTACATGCATGTTTGGACGTAACAAATAAAATGGGCAATATTTATTGAAAATATTAAGTGCTAACAGAAATGATAAGGCGAAGCGATATTATGAAAACTGGACAGGTTCTTGTGATGTTATTCCGTTGCTTTATTTCAAAGATATATTAATCCATTCTTAGCTATGAAAATGCAAATGCAAATTCCAAGAAGAAGAGAAGATTTCGCAGAAAATGATCAAAATGAATGAAATGAAAAGTTATTAATAAGTCATTTAAATTCAGAGAATTTCATGATTACAGAATTAACATGAAAAAAATTGTGAAATACCAGATTAAAATTTAAAAACATTCTTTTTCTTATTTTTCAGGAGTTTTAAGATGAAAACGAGCTCTTTCTAGCTTTTCTCTTTTCGTTTTCATTTTCTCTTTTTTTAACATCCAACTTTCATTTGGTTCATAAACGAATGAAATCTTTTCATCAGCAAGCAACTTGAATGTTCAGTACCACTATTTCCCTTTTCATAAGAGAGGTGTAATTCCGCCAGAAGGTTAAAATTGAACCTATGGCGCTTTTCTCAACAAAATGAATAAATAACTCCACTAAATATGTTCAGGAAAAAAATTGTTCATAACTTATTTTATTACTTATCGGCAATCAAAGAATTCTGAAATAGCGAAACAATAATAAAATAAAATAATATATCGAAAAAATAATAATATATTATTATAATATAATCATAACATGAAAAATGAATCAATTAATTCATAAAACAGAATATCTACCATCGTATTTTCATATCGATTCCAGAAAATGTGAACACATATTTGACAAACGATTATCGTTTATCGAGTAACAATATCCCGATATGTTCCAGTTGCGGATTATAGTTTTCCGTTTCGTTTTTTCAATTTTACTAGAATATGATTGCCTGGAAATTTATGGAATAAAAGGCAAATAAGTGATACAACAATGAGAAAAATAAGTAATAAAATAAGTGAAATAATTACCTAAACAAAATATTCTTGAAATTTTCAGAGAAAAATATGCAAATGGATAAAATATTTGGATAATAATGAGAAATTCAATGAGAAATTATAAAAGATTTAGGTATAGGAATACAGATGGCCCCATGGTGCCGCCAGGACTTCACTGCGGCTATAGCCACATTTAGATATGGGTTGCACTATAAAACGCTCAAGTATGATTTTAATGATTGCTTTACCCCTTTCAGCAGCAGCTTAAACAAATCTAATAAAAGTTCCTTAACTGAAATTTAATTTTTTTGGAGATGAAGGCTAAATTGAATATATCTCGTCAAAAAGCCATAAAAAATACGTCAAAAAAAACCTTATTAAAGTGAATAGTGAACCTTTTATTTTAATAAAATTTTATTAAAAAATAAATAAGAAAACACAAAATGTTGCAGGAAAATTTACCGAATATAAAAAGGTTTTTGGCTAATAATTGTGCAAAATAAATATGGGAGTGAGTTAAACTCGACTTTAAAATTGATATCACTTGCTGGATTGGCCAAATATTTTGCCGTAATATCACCGTGATATATATGATCATTCGATGAACTCAGTTCGATAGTTCCATCCAAAATCATCGATGAACTTTAATTCAATAATTATTTATTTATTGCGTAAAAATATTTTTAAAAGCCTTTAAAATGATTAAGTAGAAGAAATGAAAAAGAAAACAAAATTATATAATCCTTATCGCTTAATATCGCAGTATATTGAGGCCGAATATGTTATGTAATAGATTCGCAATATATTCGCAGTATTTCTCTTAAGTCGAACGCTTCTTGAATACTTAATAGATTTGTTATACATATTAAAAAAGCGTAATTATGGTTATGGCCTGGCAGCGTATATCTCTAATGATTGATCCAAATGACTCTTTTAATTATTTAGTGCTAATATCTGAATATAATATCTGAATATTTTTTCTTCCAACAGCACTTATCATTTCTGGCTGGTTGACTGGCCCCATTGGCCACTACAATGAGAGATTTTTAATCACAGGACAAAAGTAGAGCTCATCATTACCACCAGGATTACAATGCGCTCATCAGAAAATAGGAATCGTTTCTTTATCTTTTAAAAATTTCAGTTTTTCCTCTTTTTCCCAAATGTTGAGGCAAAATGATCGAGTGGTATAGCTGCTTTGATTCGCGACCAGCGTTGTAGGTTCGCTTTCCTTATCCTGATTTTACGGTAAAAATTAATTTTGAACAGAGTTAGGGACATCATATGTAAATTATTCTCCAGGGGACTATCAGTAGAACCACTGGAACCAACCAAACTAGTGGTGATGAGCACTCTTTATAAAAAGAAAAAAGGATTCGATGATTTATAGTAAAAAGTTGGTCTTAGATGAAAAATTTTTGTATAATAAATCATAATTGTATAATAAATTTCTAAAAAGAATTTATATGATCTATTTTTTCACAATCTAACTTTTTACGATGTTATAAAAATTGTTATTATAAAAATTGCTTATAAATACTCGATGGTAATCATAAGATCCGCATCTCTGTTCCACAAATTCATTTTTGAGGATGCGATCAGTTTCAGCGATAAACTTCCAATAATATCAACTGATGCAATCAAACCACTTAATAAGGGAAATTTATATGAGAGATGTTGAAGGATTAAATTTGACTGAAATAACACTCTTTATTATAAAATAAAACAAACTCAAGGACAATGAAAGCCATTAAAATTCTAAAATTTTTCTTCAAGTAAATCCTGACTAAATTCATTGAAGCTATATTTATAATGAAAAGATCGAAGCCATGTGGTCATCATCAAATATCAAATATCTATATCCATAAATCTATAATTTGGTCAGTGAAATTCCAAAATCAAAACTTCAGAGTAGCTTCAATGAATTTCAAAAAAAACTTCAAAAAAATTTAAAATTCAAATTCAAAAAAATTTAAACCATGTACCAAGTAAGTCGTTTAGATGATACGAACAAAGGAATAACAATAGTAAAGGATGATTCTGTGGAAATTTTTTTCATCTTCGTATCATATCTTTTTTCTTCTTCAGTAGAAGATAATTCTCTATTTGTTCTACTTTTTTTCCATAAATCATTATATTTGCAAAATCGAGGGTTTATTTAATATTATTATTCAAGCTACTCTGAAGTTTTATAAAATTCCCTTTGTAAATAACTCTAAGAAACTCTAAGCATTTGGTCGATATTTGTTGTTGGGGAACGAGAGCTAACCCACGAGCTGCTAGTATGTTCTATAGAATTGTTGGCACTTCAAAAATTGAAATTATAAATTTCACCATATAACTCTCCCATTACATCTTCTTTTTACTTTTTGATTATTTGGTTACCATTTAGTGATTTGTAGGGCCAAAAAATTTTTCGAAACTCAAATGAAATGAATTAAAGTGTATATATTCATATATATATATTTCCTTATTTTCATTGATACATATCGGCTAAATTCAAATATCAATGTCTGAATTGGAGAGTGAGGATAACTGATTCTTCACCTAAAATTTGATTTAAAGCGAATATATTTCTAAAAAAATTGAAGACAAACACTAAAAGCTTCGATTGGTTTTCCATCAGCATTCCATATTAAACTTATTAATTCGTTCGTTCCTTCAAATAGTTTGAAAATCGGAAGTCGATTATTTAAAATACGAAGTTGTAGATTGGCATAACAATTATCGCCTTGCCGATTTTCATTCGTCCCACTATTGTCACTCGAAATTAACGAATCACATCCAAGCAAGTCAACTGATAACTGAAAATCACATTCATTGTGTTGTCCGTTCAAAATATTCAAAATGTATAAAAGTGATATAGCGCCAATTTAAAGAGTCAAGCTTATCATTTTTGCTTAGGCTCATTCCTTTTGCTGTTAATGAGAAAGAAGCAGAGAACCAACTCGGAAGTAGAGATTATCAGCACCATCCTTTTTATATGATAGTTTTTAAAGACCATTTTAAAAAATTTATTGCAAACTCAGCTTTTTTTAAAGGCAAATTGTTATAGATTGTCTTTCCTTTTGCTGCATTTTAAAGATGTTTCATTTTATAATGGAACAATTCATTTATAAAAATGAAAATTGATACTAAAAATGAGCAATGAGCTCTTTCAAAGGATTTCAGAAAAAAAGAAAAGGACTGTTGTGATATGAATAACGCTTAGTGAAAAACTGATAAAATTTAATATAAATTTAAGCGATGTATATCGATAATTTTTCTTAAAACGGTCCAAATTTAGGCAAAGGAAATTAAACGACTTCACAACAATTTTTCATGAAACTTTTGAGTGGAAAAATCTAAATGGCTCTTTCTATTGGCTAAACAATTTGGAATTTTAATTTTATTTTAACAATGCTTTTAAGAATTTTTAACAATACTAATGGTCCTTGAAAATTCCATATTATTGGATCTCTTAAGATCTTTTAAGATCAAAATAAATGATGATGCGAAGCATGAAGCATGGACACAAGTTGTATTTATACGATAACGATTTTAAAAAAGTCTTTCACCAAATATCGCGAATTACTGATGCTTTCCAATCAATGATGGTGTTTTCAAAAACCAATGTCATTTTTTTTCAAATTTTTAATCCTATCTATTAAAGCATCTATTAAAGATGAAAGCATCAATTCAATGAGAAAACAAAAAAATCAAATTTTTCTCATTAGTTCTACGAAAAACTCTCGTCATTGCAGTTAAATTTTTTTTATTATACATATTTTTCCATTAGCAATGATCGCTCTAACTTATTTTAATTGAATGGAGAACAAAGGCATAAGGAAAGCACCTACTGTACAGAATGGCGCAATCATCTTTAAGAATGGGCAGATCTCTTAAGATCAAAATCCCTCTAATTCTTTTATCAAATCTTCGAACTTTGCAGCCACTTGCAATTAGACTGGATGAAAAAATTCGAAGATTAACGTAACATTATATGCATGACCAGCGGTCCTTTTCAGAATGTGGTTCAAGGGCGCTGGAAGACCTTCGAAAATTTTTAAATTGTCCGCGAACCCGAAAATATTTTTATAATAATACTAATAATCTTTTTTGAAAAGAATCATTAATTTAGTTTAAAAATAAGTGCAAAAAAGTGAAATAATCCATCTCTTTCATTAAATCTTTTTTTAATTTGGAAAATATAATTGCTACTCAATTATTTATTCGCTTATTTATTTAATTAAGCACCATTATCATAGCCGAGGCAATTCTCGATAATTTTTGAGAATGCCTAAAAGTAAAAGGTTTGAGAACCACTCGCATTGGCTAAAAAACCAAAAAATAATGATTCTTGGTGATTTTTGTGGCTCAAATTTATTGAAGAATTGAATTCTTTGAAGAAAAAATGTTTTCTCGCGAGAAAAATTCGACAGACATTCTTTCTCAAAAAACCTTAAAAAGAGAATCAAAAAAATGCCAAAAAAATGCCATTGAAAACATACTCCAAATATTTCATTTTTTTTTCCTTTCATATCAAGCATATTCAATAAAAAATCGCCATATTTGAGAATTCCAGCATTGAATTCGCTTTTAGCTATCACCATGAACTGGTATGGACCTTTATCTAAACATTCGAAGATTTTATTTTTGTCTCAATATTTCTACCATTACTTTCTTAATTAACGCAATAAATAACTTTGTTACGAAATTTTGAGCATAAATAGTTGCTGGAAGCAGGATGATTGAGTTGCTTGCAGTGAAATTTCGTGGGTTCGATTTTTGATTCTTGAAGCCTTTCGTTAAAAAAAAAAAGAGAAATGAGATTCCATCTTTAAGTGACCTTCTAGCAAAAAACTCTCACTCCTAGTTAATCATGCCAGAAGGCAGTCGTACCAGAAACATCGAATGGTGCTAAATAATGATAATGATGAGGAATGACCAGATTTTTTTCAGAATAAATTATTAGATATTAGATCTTTCAATTACTTGTAATATTTATGTTGAGCACATTTGAAAGAGCGCGTAAACTCCGCTGAGAGTAATTCGGTCTGAATACACGAAAATTTCGCATTTTTCTCCAATATTTATCTAACTACAATAAACTCGCTTTCTTCGATGATCAAATTGCTGATTTCAGTGAAAATTTTAATGAAGTAAATTCTAAGTCAACTGATAAATAAATAAAACAAATGCTGATAAATAAAATACTTAGATGAAAGAATTTAAACTACCAATTCTCGCATTTATAATATATTAATTCCTATTTTATCGTTAATCTTTTTTACTTATTTGTAGATGAACATTTGGAAAAAATATGGGAAATTTTTAAAATGGAAAATCGATTTAGAACCTTACCAATTTTACTAGTATTAAAAATAGGTTAATTTCCGTGAAAACTAGCTGTTTTTAATGCTGCTTGGTCTCAAATGAAAAAAAGAAAATTTATCTACTTTTATAGAAGGTTGATAATCCTTGTGCAGATTAAAACTAAAGCTTTTTAAAAAATGAAGCCATTAAAATTGAAATTGAGATTTTCTGATTTTATAAAATTGAAATTTCATTTTATTACTTTTTAATAAGATAATACAATTAATAAGAAATGCAAAAACTCACTTCGATATCTGTGGTTCTTTGTTGTCGTTGGTTAGCGTAAAAATAAGCCCATTTCTCATGATTGTTAGGTATTAGGCTTTCCGAACTGCAAGAAAATCTTTTGCACATGGCGAGAAAAATAATGGATATTGTGAATTCAAAGAAAAAATTTTTCCGACAATTTATCTCATAATTTAGTAAGAAGGTAAGAGGATGGACAAGCGATATGCTTCAGGGTATTGTAAAGTTAGACACAATATGTGGCTCGATTTTTGCATTTTAACAGAATTCTTTAATCTTTAGAATTAAAAGGAAAATTCGAATAGTGCTAGGAAAATCTTTATATTTCGGCTTACAAATAAGATGTTGTCAGTAGTGGTCAGTAGGATAAGCCAAAGAAATGGTCAGTGTTACTAGAAAATAAAGGGGTTTGGAAAAGAGCAAACAAAAAAAAGATGGAAAATAACGATGAAAATTCTCGAATAATTTTGAGGAATATTATTTCGGATTTTTTCAATTCAAGCAATTAGAAATGTTATACGGATCGAGTAAAATTTGAAGTGTACCGAAGTATATATGAAGCAACTGAAGTATGATAGAGTAGCGCATCAAGTAATATTTCCCCTGCGCGATTCTGATCGGAAGTCGGTTGCCAAAGTGGACAAACATTGCGGAATATACGAACCAACCGATCAATTAACTATTTATGTAATTGATCTTATAAAATTTGTATAAGAAACAAAACAAGAGATTCTTAGATGATAATTTTTTTTTCTTTTTCGAATATTTATTTATAAAATCGAATTAATGAACCACGCTACTTCGTAATCAAGAAATTTTTTATCAATTAATGATAAAAGCCGAAGAGCTGCTTGTTGAAGTGCATGCAGTAATGTATTATTTGTGCAAAGAAATTGTTTGGTATATGAAATTAGACTGAAAAAAACAAACAATATTATTCGGCACCAAATCACCCGAATTATAATTCAAACAGCAGCTACCAGTTTAAGCTAAAAAATTGAGGAATAGTGAGATAAATTTAAAATTTGTATTTCACCACGCAAATAAAATTTGTATAAGAAACAATTTAAAATTTAAAATTTGTATTTCACCACGCAAATAAAATTTGTATAAGAAACAAAAAAAATCTTTTATCTAGGAAGTCATCGATAAAATATTCAAGCTAAGCCTATGATTCATAAGATGGATTTATCCCATGACGATTATTTCAGGTCATTTTGTTTACCTTGCCAGTGGGACATTCTGCAAGACTTCAAGCGCAGTTGTATGGCATTCAGTTGTTTTACATGTAGTAAATTTGTTTATGAATCTCTGTACTTTCTGAAAATAAAAATATCTTTCGAAAATTCACTGCCAACTTTATATTTATTGTATTTCCATAAAAATAATGAAAAATAATCAAACGCACAAAAATTCTTGTTGATCTACTTTTAGAAAAAATTTATAAAAATTTTGAAATTTTAAATAATTTTATCATATCACTTATAACAATTGTAGTAAGCATTATTGGCGATCCTACCCAAGGCATTCTCGTCGTACTATTTTAATAACAATTAAAGTACCTAGCCTAACCAGAAATGATGAACGTTAACCATCCAATTATTTGCTTACCTATAGTTATTACATTTTTTTAAACATTTGCCTGCGGTACTTTTTCGAGAAAAAATCATTAAAGAGTTGAGAAAACTAACTCAAAAAATCTGAAAAAAGACAATTCCTAAGCTAAAGGTTCACGAAAATTTAAAAAATAACTGTAATTTACCTTCTCTTTGCCATTATTGCAAGCATTCAATCGACTTATTTCAGATTCGCAATAGCGCCGATATAGAACAGCTATTGTAAAAGATAGCTGCCGACGGATGTCATCATTGTCACATTTCTCGAACCAGTTCTATATATAAACTATCTATTGGATAATTGTCGCTCATTATGCTAAGAAAATTTCTGGGTTTAAGAAGAACCTCAAGATCTTCGATCAACTCTGGAGTGATTTTTGTTGAAAGCATCAATGATTGCAAGTAAATTTCTCGTAATTCAGGCAATTTTCTATCTACTGATTTTCGTACAATCTTATGGAAAACCAGCCGTCCTGTTGCACCAAGTGCATTCAAAAGAATATTTCTGCAGTTTTTTCAAGATTAACTGCGAATTAATTGCAATAATTGAGCACTTAAATTTCTTTAATTGATGGCGTTTGGGGTCCGCTCGTATTTCTGCTCTCATATGATATCTAGGAGATCCCATTTTGGCGATAACTTAGAAAGTCAAACTAAAGATAGTGCTGTAAGAAAAAGAAATAATCAAAGAAATAATAATCTTTGAAGCTTCGCAATTTTGCTTAAAACTCCATGAAGAATAGTAATATTTAATAAAAATCAAAAAATTCCTAAACACCCTCCAAAGTAAACAGCAATTTATTTCTTGCTTAAATTGCTAAAAATGGAAGATTTTTTAAAAATTGTGATTTTGTAAAAATATTTTTTTTATTTTTAAATGTGATTTGTATATTTCGATTTTCTTAGATATTTAATATTTTTTCTTCAGATATTTTTGATGAAAAGTTGGAAAAGTTTTACGTGGTAATTTCGTTTTTATCCTTTCTTATAAGTCGTAATACTTCGTCTTCATCAGCGAGTAATAATTCTTTGAAAAGTTCAGCAAAGACGACGGGCTGTTGTTGAGATATTTTGAATTCTTCTATATTTAGGACTTGAAGTTTTCGAAGGAGAAAAGACAACTATAAGAATAATATTTTAGAAAATCGTTGATATTTGATATCGATCAATCCCACCAATATAACCATTAATATGATTGTGAGGCAAGGAAGTTTGAATGAAGGTAGATTGAAAATTGTTGTTTTGAATAAGATCAAGCAACCATAGCTTGGATTGCTGTTCCTCAAAGATGACTAACCTAACATTAAAATTGAAATTCAGATACTGAAGACATCTGTATTTCTATTCTCACTGGCGATCTTACTACACAGTGGAGACAGACAAACGAGAAACGGTGAGTGTTTAAAAAAAAAAAAAACCAATTTCAATAAATGTGAGGGCATTAGCAAAAAATTCAGAATAATATAATTTTTCCTTAATTTATTAACTTTCCTGATTCCCCTTACTCTTAATTGATTAGTACAACTTGAAATATTTAAGAAACTTGGTCTTATTTGATATTTTCATAAAAACAAACCTTTGAAGGTCGTTGTATATCATTTTCAAAATTCGATCGAATTTTTCTCCAAGTTTTTCCTAAACTTATTGCATTAAATACTTTCTTGGCGCATTCATCTGCAGTAGTATTAACTTCGCAAAACCGATTAGCAAATTTCTCTTCTCTTTGTAGCATTCTCGTATGTGACCTGAAAAGCCAATTAGCTTTTAAATGATTAGAAAAAGAGCCGAGATGTCCGAATTTTATATTTTTTCGGCTAAAATGTTGTATTTTCGAATCGATTCCCATGCAATGGTGAGGAAAATAAACTGCTCAGCAAAATCTAAAAAAAATGAGTTGCAGATTCATCCATCTATACTTCTATCTCTAACTGTGGCGAAGACTCCTTCTCAATATAACCAGCAATGCCAGAGATGGCGAGAATACTGTTAGAAAAAGATGCAGAAGAATAGAAAAATGGAAAAATGGTACGTATATAAAATGCAAAAGTGATTGAAAAGGCCCTATTTTAAAAAGGCCTAATTAAAAATAAAAATAAAAATAATTAAAAATAAAATATTTTTTTACGTTGTATGCAGATGTAGCTTCCACTTCCGGTCGATAAAGGAATCTACTTCCAATATTTCATGTGCTATGATCTCGATTATATCCGCATCCAATTTCTTATTTTGTCTTAAGACTCAAAAAAGTCAAAAATCAAAAAAACGATAAAAGATAATCTTTGAAAAATAGCTATATAATTTTTAATTTTATAGCTATATAATTTCCAAATGATACGATGGATAAATTGAAAATTTTAAAATTTTTTTCATGGATTATATAAATAAATAACTATAGTTTTATTAATTAGCACAGAATGATTTCGAAACATTTTGTGCGGAAAATCTTCAAGGTTGTTATTTTATGAATTAACCGTTCACCTGTAGCTCACATTTTGATTGTATGATAGCGTATTCAACGCAGGAATAAATGAATGATTCCTCGTAGTTTCCAACCGACATCGATCTAGTCGTCTTCTAAATAATTTATCCGCTGGCTTCGTAAAACGAATGCGGCAAATTCCATATGGTGTCATCTTCAAGATTTTTTTTTGAAACTATTGTCATAAAAAATAATTTATATTGATCTGACAAAAATTTTCTAATCCCTTATTCAGTTATTGTTCGACGTAATTGGTCAATAATTTGGTTGTTGCTTACATGAAGAAAAAATATTCAAGAAATAATTATTTAAGAAATAGAAATATATTGTTGAAAGCTTGAAGTTTTTTGATAAAATTTAAGATTTTTAAGAAGCACAGATGAACCGCCAGCATCACCCAGATTTTTAATGAGCGGCTGATCGAGAACTCTAAACTCTATCAACCAAATAAAACCTTACAACAATTTGTTTATCACCATGGTCATAAATTTCGGTCGTATAGATTGAGCTTACAATACCGAAAAGAGGATTCCATGAATAATTTTCATCCCCTTTAGATCCGAAAATTTCTTCGAGATTACTTTTACCTTGAAGGAATTTAACATAAACACTGGGCATTCGATAATGGCATGGCCCAGAAATACATTTTACTAGCTGAAAAAAAATAAAAAATTTAAATTATTATTAGGTGAAAATTTTTTATTAAGGCGAACTAGAAATTTTATTTATACCAAAATCAATAAAATTATAATGGTGATGAGAAGGATTTAGAGAATTTATGAAATGATTTACCAACTAGCTTATATATAATATAACAGCAGCTACCTTCCTTATATTGATAAAAATATTTTTTAAACGAATTAAAAGGACAATTACATGAACCGAGGGAGTAAATTATTTAGATGGTTCTACTCTAAATCACTGATTATTTACTGATTACTTATTCCCATTTATGTTAGTTATGCTATGTTTTTCTCACTTTATAGTTAATTTTAAATTTTTGAGTTGCTTTGAATAAGCTAAACTAACTTGTGAAAAATTAAAAAAATTTTCGTAATTCGGCGCTAAATTCACCTGTGCTATATATAAAATTTAAAATATGGGAATTTCTAATGTAAAATAATTTTTTAAAAAATATGCAACGAACTCGATATCGAGCAAGAATACAACCATTACCATCGAAATGAAGTATATCAACTGCAAATGTCAAGTTGATTTTTGCATGAGACGTCTGCAGATCTTTAGCGCCTACATTGAAAAGAATTGTTTCGGATAAAAATGAATAATTGAACGTTATACGCCTGCAAATTAATTTGTTCATAATATTTGTTTGGATTTTTTGCATAATTTTCCATTTAAATTGCTTAAATGATGGAATCTTTGAAATGGATCTTGAATCTTAAAATGGAATGATGGAATAAACGATCTATATAAAAAATGATGTACAATGATAACGCTTTTATATTACATTAGAAAAAGCTGAGAGAAGTACTTGGTCCTTCGAAAAGTTCGGGCATTTTGTGATATTCATTTCGAGAAACTATTAATATTCTTCATCAAAATAAGCACCATAATACTTCTCACCAATGTGACATCGTGCATTTATTCCATTTTACAAAATTTTCGAAATGAATATCGCAAATATGAGAAAAGAAAGAGAAAGTTTCGAGTTTCTAAAACCAATGAGCTGTAAGAAGACGTTTTCAAAATCCTCTTGGTTTTCTTCTCATCCTGAGGACGCTGCGGCGAGAATAAAAAGAGTGAAAGGATATTGGAGAGAGATATGAGAATACGGTGGATGAAGACTTTGATATTTAACTCGTTTAGGAAAATAGTTTTAGTGCTGGTAAATGTTTGTATAAATGCTGCATCGAATTTTAAGAAGTTATAGTGGATCGATCCAATAACAGATTAGCAAACAGCAATCACAATATTCTTCGAGTAAAGGTGCAATTTTGGCATGGATCGAGGAGTCGTATTCTTGTCCAGCTAACTGGTTTTTTCCTCCTGTTTGTCCTGTCCTACAGAACCATTTTTTCTTTAAATTAAAAGTTTTCCAAGAGATAGTTTTTGTGTCGAATTAACAGCGAAAAGCACATTTCCTTAATGTTCAATTCATGAAGTATCCAAGCTTTTTATTCTTTCCTATCGCTCTTAGGATGACTCCCACAGTTGAATGGCAAGTGACTCTTGCGCCAAGTCTACCTAAGCCTTTTTGCAATGAGTCTTTATCATTTCCTGCAAGAGTTTATTTACAGAACTTAAGGCCGTGGGACTCGAGCACTTTCGAGGCTTACATTTCTAGTTATGTTCTTGCAAATTTGCATATTACGAACAGTTTGAATAGCTCTGTGGCCCAATTTAAGCTATGAAATGATGAAATTTTGGTTGCATGTCACATCAGATTCGATCATGCAAGTCACCCAAAAAAATTAAAATAAAGCTCCAGTAACAAAAAAGAACAAGATTTAATGGAGTATATAACAGTCAGTGTCAGTGTGGCATTACAACAAAAATATGCGGTCCCAAAGAAAGAACTGAAATATCGGAATTTTTCTGAAGAATCAATTATAATTAGTTTAATATTTCAAGACAATAATCAGGTTAAGTCAAAAGCAGTTAGTTTTTTTCTTAAAAATTATTTCGACTAATTCGAATAAACTATTAAAATATTTATTCATCATGATTAAAACGATACTTCATTTTCATCATAAATTCGCCCTTTTTCATATTTTCGCTTTCCTTTTCAATAAATGGTTTATTCAGAATACCAAAAACACAAAAGACTCCTGGAAATATTAAAATTTTAAATCAAACTTTTTTTAGAAGTTTAAATTATGGTGTAAAATTTATAGCATTTTTATTAGAGAAGCTTATAGTTTTCCTCTCATCCTCGCATTTTTTTTGATTTTGAATAAAATTTTGATAAAGAATTTATTTCGGTTCATTAAGCTCTTTTCCTCATTTTTGTCTTGTTTTTTTCAATATGTTAATCTCAGATAAGTGAGTTCAATTAAAATATTTCATCATATTCCCTTAGGCCATTACCACACACAAATTTTCCTATCGTAAGTTTTCTGCAATATCTTAATAAAATTGAATTTCCTTTCTTTCATTATTTTTTTTGCTAAATATGATTCAAATAAATATCTTTCAAGGAGAACCAAATTTTCCGTAAAATTCTAAAATCTATTTAGTTAAACCAAAAGGCTTGAGCCAATTTCTTGCAAATTAATGAAATCATTTGTTTTGAAACTTTTTAGATAAATTCTTGGAAAAAATAATTGCTTATTTTTATATACTTTTCCTAAATATCATAAATCCATGCCTTAACACCCTTAAAATTTCCCAGTGCCTACTTTTTTAGAAAGTAAAATTTTCTTGGGTTTTAAGTGAAAATTTAGAAAAACCACCATGAGACGTGACAGAAAGCAGTTGACTTACCGAGAATAATCATTAATATCGATAGGATTCTTTTGTAATGCGACATTATTGATGGAACAATGGAGAAAGTCAATAATTTTATTATCAGTAACGACTCGTTCATTCTTATCATTTTTTTTACGTATATATATTATAATCTATTGCTTTATCTCATCAAAGTGTTTTCATTCCTTTCCTTTATAAATTTCAAAAGTGGCTAATTTCTATGAACAAAAAAGATATCAATGCCTAACTAATCCTTAGGAGCGTCAGTTGCTTAAGATGATTGCTACTGAGAATGGTTCGTATTTGAATTTGACCAACACACCACACGGACAGAGAATGGCCCAATGGGTTGTTGCTCTCATTTCGGAGTGCAGATGCTGAGATTTGAGTATGGCAAGAATAAACATGACCTTTCCAAAATCCGTGTCTTTATGCTTGTGATTCGCTTTTCTAGCAGAGTGACTGCGCTGTTCAACTTGCCTGCGGGATGAATGGTGAGCGCTACTGGAAAAAAAATGCCAAGCAATTTACGTCCTCTTAGATTTATTTCATAAAAATATTTTTGCCTTTTCACTCTTTTAAGAGAAACCAGAAAGATTCGAAAAATTCTGAAAAAAAAGAAAAAATAAATTAAAAACTTGACAAAATAAAAATAGTGCAGTTAGCCATCTTTTTGTTTTTTTTGCTTATAATTTTCAATTCGTAAACATCCTTATCTCTGGTCGTCTAATTTGCGAAATTTTACGTACCATATTGTATACGAAATAACAAAAGATAATAATAAATTATAACAAAAGATAGTACAAAATGTAAAGTTTTACTTTTCTAAAGCAGAAATTCAGGAAAATCATGTTTTTTATGATATTTTAGAAAAATTGCCCAAGAAATTAAGAAAAATTGCGTTTTTCTTAAGTGAGGATTCAGAACAATTGCTTTTGTTGTTCATTAAAATAAGTTAAAGTTTAATTTCTTTGATTTTCTTTTTTTTTTCAGTTTTCTAAGCGGATCAAATTTGCATTTAAAAATCTTCCAGTTGAATAAGACTATTTTTTGTTGCCCACTTTTCCTCTTTTTTCTTTTCAAATTTCTCCGGAATTATTGTTCAAATTGTCACGGTTCCACGAGTCATTTTATTTAAGAAACGAAAACGACTGGTTAGCTATGAATTAATAATTAGCATCTAAAAAATTTATGTAATTCATGTTTGTAATACTCTGTCTTTGAAAGTATTCTCATTGGTCGAAAAACTGAAAGAATAAACAAATGGAGTTGATTCCATTTCTTTTTCGACTCTCATTATCGCTATAAAAGCCACTGGACCCGAGAAAAATCCTTATCGCTTTCTTTTTTAGAGACTCCGCGTCGGAAAGTCTTAAAAAATCTCAGTATGAAAAGTTGTCCTTTAAATTAAAATTTTTTCTAAAATGCATTCGAAAAATTGTGGATGAATTGGAGAGATGCAAGTTTTCATTAATTTTTTTTGGTATTTGCAAGGCAAAGCGATGATATTCATTTATTATTTAGCATTAATTAACCCTGCCAATATTCGAAAATCCATCTGAATACTAATCCACTAACTTATTCCACTAATGTAATTTTTAAATGAATCGATCTTTCAGTTATTTTTTCGCTAAAAATTTTTTTTGGTGCACAAAGTATTCGATCCATGCATGCTTCATGCGATATCGAATGAATTAAAATAATCAAAAATATTTGTCGTTTATCTCCTTCTTTAAATTTTTTTGCGATTAATAAATAATTTTGAATATTTTGTATCAAATTATTAGGATAATTAAATAATTAAAAAGCCAAATTAAATAATTGCTGAAACTTAAAGAAAAAGAGCGAATAAAAAAAAATATTTGCTCCATTTCTGAATAAGTTCTTTGCATTGGCTGTTCGGTAAAAAATTTTTCACCAGAGCATCACTTGAATCACATAATCGCATGCACTACTTGAATTTTATTTTTATCGAGAGCACGAATACAGCCTTTGTCTCCCACTGCATATATTCTATCTTAACTGATTGCAAAGGAAACGAAAAATGTGCCAAGTGAAATAGTGCTAACATCGTAATATGCGACTTGCTTTAGTTTACAAGTGGATTATTTGAGTGGTTGATGATTAGATTACAATTTCGAATATTATTTTCAAAAACACCCCTCACTGAAAAATTCGGATGAAGACCACTTATATTCGATTCCTAACTGACTTCAGCAGAATAGTACTAATTTTATTAATGGAGCAGGCACGAGAAATAGTGAGTGCTAACTACTTATTTTCCATTTACTGCATAAAATTGTGGTTCTGAAACATTGTTCTTTTGATTATCCGCTTTTTTTCTGGTTTGGATGGCTCAGACTATTAAGATGGGACTTCTTTACTTTACAAGTGGGTGATTCCACAATACTACCTTGCATTTTGGCTAATACAGGTGCACAAATAAATCTTTTGAATTTTTAAGTTATTATCTGCTAATTTTGCTCATTGTTAACTTATTTTTTTATTTCGCATTAAGTATATTTCTCTAATTTACGATTGAATATTTAGCTTAATTTCAACTTTATCACATTTTTCAACATTACTCCATATGTAAACAAAAACTTTAACGTGTTCATATAATATTATATGCTTTTAATAGATTTTTTCTTGGTCACTTCCTATGCAAAGGCAAAAAATTTTATCACAGTTATTAAGTTATTATCTGCTAATTTTGCTCATTGTTAACTTATTTTAATTTCAGCATATAAATATAAGTCGTATAATTTTCCTTCATTGAATCAAACTCAATGCATAAATCTTTGAATCATCTGTAGTGAAAACGAGGAATTATTCTAAAAGCCACAAATACAATTATAAATTATTCAATTTTACGATATGTATTTATTCAATGTTCTCTTCATTATCGAATAATTT